TTTTTTGTTTCTTAATTTTAAACTAAAAGACTAAAAATATACATATTTAGATAAATTTAATAAATTAACTGATAAAATAATTAAAAATATATATTTTTCATAATTAAAAGACAAAAAATAAAAAAAATTAAGAGATGAAAATTATGTAAAATTTTAAAATTGAGGGACCAAAATTAATATTTAACCATAAATTAATTAATCATTATCACAATCTTCCTTAATTCCTTTCTCCATATAGTTTCTCCACGAGATGTCTCGGTTTCATCAGGGGGCGGTCGTTTCTCCTCCTTCTCCTTCTTCTTCTTCTACAACCTGACACCTCCACCTCCACCCCAGAACCATACAAATAGAGTAAAAATCACTCTTTTTTCAACCTCCGACACTCCGGTGGCCGTTTGGGCTCTGTTTCCAACATGGGTTTCGGTCTGGATCTTCGTTTTGACCTTGACGATTGTGATTTTCGGTGGCTGTCTGAGTTTTTACAGGGCATGTTGAAACCGGTGGCTGCCCTGGCAGTGGTACTAATGGCAGTGATTTTGTCCCGCTGCCAAAAACTGGGTCTGGAGAAAGAAATGGCAGTTTCTATTTTCAGAGCATTTCTCCAACTCTCTGTCATTGGGTTCGTTCTTCAGTTCATCTTTAACCAGGAAAACGCTGGTTGGATCATTCTTGCTTATCTTTTCATGGTATGGATCACTTCACTTTCCATATTTTGAGGTCATGTTAAGTGCTTGGCGTTGAAAAGTTCTGTTTCAGATAAATAATGGTTCCTTGTGCTTTCCTGGTCCGATGCACTTATATAAACTCGAAAGTCTTAGATTTAAATATTAATTTACTTTGTTTTACTGATTTATTGACCTAAGTAAGTAAGCTGAATTATGTTGAATTCAAATCATGACTTGGTAAATCTTTTTTTGACTAGTTCAAACAAAAGCAGAGTTAAAAAAAAAAAAAAATCTGATCTCGAAGAAAATACATATGATGTCGTTTCTGTTTGTCTTTGTTTGTGTTATAACCGAGGAAATTGAAGATATGTCCAAATTGCTAAATCTTTGCACAGTGGCGCTTATAGAAGAGCAGATCAACAATTCTACCTAATCAAAATCAATTGAATGAGCAAAGCAGTTTACTTTTAAAGTTACTCCTTGATTCAGTTTGGGTTTAACTTACTGGAAATTTTGTGTGTGTGTGAAGGTCTCTGTTGCTGGATATACAGCTGGTCAACGAGCTAAACATGTACCCCGGGGGAAGTATGTTGCTGGAATTTCTATCCTGGCTGGAACGGCAGTGACCATGTTTCTGCTTGTTTTGCTGAGCGTTTTCCCTTTTACGCCGCGGTATATCATCCCTATTGCAGGAATGATGGTGGGGAATTCAATGACTGTAACTGGGGTTACAATGAAAAGACTCAGAGATGATATCAAGATACAAATGAACCTGGTATGTTCCGATAAAGTAAATGGCATTAAAGGGTCTTAGGAAGTTTGAAGAGCCGCAGATTTATGTGATGGTCTATTGTTTTTCTGTTTGTTTTAACTTGTGGGAAAACATTACTTTTCTTGCTTAAGAAGTAATTGCTGAATATGACCTAGCTATAGCTTCTTAATTCCCATTTGGTCTATTTTATTTCATTTTCTATAATGAAAATTGTTCCCTGATTTTGCAATGGTGATGAACCCTGAAATCCGCAATTTTGCAATGTGTTACAAACTTTTGATGTTGTAATTACTTTGGCAGGTGGAGACAGCATTGGCGCTTGGTGCAACTCCACGTCAAGCAACGCTACAACAAGTGAAAAGGTCATTGGTTATTGCTCTCTCCCCAGTACTAGACAATGCCAAAACTGTTGGTCTAATCTCACTTCCAGGGGCTATGACTGGCCTCATAATGGGAGGAGCATCCCCTCTAGAGGCTATTCAACTGCAGATTGTCGTTATGAACATGCTTATCGGTGCATCAACCGTTAGCAGCATCATGTCAACATACCTGTGCTGGCCTGCCTTTTTCACCAAGGCATATCAGTTAGAAGCCAAGGTTTTCACTTCTGATTGAAGCCTTTTTCTTTTTTCTTTTTGTAATCTAAACTTTCACAAATCCAACACTTAAAATGAAATGAATATGATAGGTGTCAAGCTGTTATCCCATAATTTAGAAATTGTACAATATGTACCACTCTGGTTTTTGCCTTTGATAAATCTATTGAAATATGTTTCCCTTGTGAGTGTAAAGAATTAAGATCTTGCATCAAAGAAATATAAAAAGAAATAGCGATTTAAATATGTGAAGACTTGTAAAACTATTAAGTTAGTCTTTATGTTTTAATGTGATGTCGAAATATGTAATTAACCACTCAATATGATTTTGTTAGGTCATTTGTTTCCCTAATTTGTTAGTATAATTCAAGATAGATGGATTCTACTCATAACTAGAGTGAATTACATACTAAAATTATTCTAAATTGTAAAATAAAAATTACTTAATAAAGAATAACTCTAACTTGTTGGTTAAAATTATATAATATTTTATTACATAAGAGAAGTCCAAAAACCATATTAGTTGCAACAAGAAATTAATAAAACAAAAATTAACCTTTAATAATACCTTCTTTTTTTTTGTAACTAATACAATATTTAAGGTGAAATTTGAACCTACTAGTGCCAGTGCACTTTCAAAACTGTCAATTAGCTAATTAACACCATTAATGAGCATATGGTTAGCATTAAAATTCTTTATTTACCTTAACTGCCCATTCTGTGTCCGTTGAGAGGTCCAATCGCCGCCACTACCTGCTTACGCACAATCCAACCGCTCAGGCATTTCCACGTGTATATTACAACGTGGCAGCATCTTACGCATGATGTAAACTGCGCACCACGCGTACCAAAAACGCATGCCCCCAACCACTTAGGCTGCGTTTGGTACTACCGTAAACTACTACAA